ATCAATAAAAAGACACAGAGTTGCAGGATGGATTAAAAAAAAAAAATTCCCACAGGACTGATGAGTTACCTTGGAAGCAGCATGATGTGATGTGGGAACCAGCTTTAGACCTGGCTTTAGCTCTGGCTGGAGAAGATGCTACCACATAGTTCTGTCCCCAGGCCCCTTTGCCATTACCACGCCTTCTTGCTGCGAGCCCTTGGGATTTTCTACCTGAGGACTTTCTCTGCTCAGAAGGCATCCAGGGAAGGCTGCAAGTGCCAGGAGCAGCCCTCAGTCCTTATTTTCTTTATTTCTTTGGTAGGACAATACCACTATAATCATGTCCCACAGGTCCAGAATGGCGTGAGCCCGCCTGCTACTCTCAGAAATAATTTATTTATTCATTATTGCATCCTGAATCAGATTCCTTGCTGTTTCTTTTAATTTCCTCCCCTCCTCATCTAGTGCTTCCTAGGGTCATCTCTCAAATAGACCATTTGTACTTACACCTCAGTGTTTGCTTCTGGGAAGCCCAGCCTAAAGATAATTGGATGTGCCATTTCTCAGCTGTTTGCTTGGAGATCACTTTACCTGTTGAATCTTACTTTCTTTTACAAAGTGGAGGTAATAGCACTTACTTTACAAGAGAGTCTTTAGGATTAGCATCTAGCTCAGACAAGTTTAGGGTTTAGGAAATGCTAATTCTCTTTTCAGTTTTTACTGGTCCATAACAGATTCTCTACCAGAGAGCTATGGTGGACATGCCTCATTTCAACCATAGTTGAGTAGCCAGAAGGTGGCCTGTGGGTGATTGAATTAGTCTCCTAGTCACGTGCTCCCTCTCTGCAATAAGATTAAACATCTCCATGGTTTGTCATGCCTTGCATTTTCTAGAGAGAACACATTTTTCTGTACCCCATGTGTTAGCCATATGACATACTTTGACTATGGCATGTAAACAGATAGAACATCTGAGAAGAAGTTTCAAATGTGTTATTGCATGGTTTGGCCATGCTTTTTCATGCCTGCCCTCTACCATGAGAAAGACATTCCCAGTGCCTGACACTTAGCATGAGCCAGCACTTATTAAATGCTTACTACTATGTAGCAGGTACGCTCTATGTGTGATTCTTTTTAAATATTTATTTACTTATGCATACAAGAGCTGGGGTTTAGGCCAGAGGTGAGGGAGGTGAGAGGATTCACCTGAGACAGAGTGGGGAGCAGAACAGGCAGGTCTACTGAAATACACTGCTGAGGGAACATTAAGAGAGGAGACAGGAGAGGTCTGCTGTGCCATGTGGGCCAGGGATTAAACTCATGCTGCAGTGGCTGGTGATAGCTTGCTAGAGCTGAGACTTTTATCCCTGTACCAACAGGGAGACATTCATTTCATTATTACAGGCATTCTAAGACACATTTCATTTCATTATTATAGGAATTCTATCACCATCCTTATTTAACACATATGGAAAACTCAGGTTCAGTAAGGATGAGTACCTTGCTCAAACTTACACAGTTGGAAGGGCAGGCTGTCTGTCTTCTAAGTTTACGTTGTTAACCACTGCACTTTGCTTTCTTGTCGGAGACTCTTTGTCCCCAATCATGGATTATTTGGGGGCAGAACAGGCAGGGTTTCAAGGTGGGAGCGGTGTCGGAGAGCAGAGATTCCTAGAAAAGGGAGAAAAGGAGAAAAAGAGGAGCGGACGCGAGGAAGACATGGGAATTGGAGTTGGGTGCAAGTCTTTCTGCTCTGGCTTCAGCAGAGGTTTATTTTATACACTTCAAGCAAGCAGTGGGATGACATTAGCATATGAATTGAGCTGAGAGATCACTATCATCTTTTTTCCAAGAACAGTCTGGGGTTGTATTGATCTTTAGTTGAGATTATAACATTATTTTTGAAATCAATCTGTCAAGGTTAAAACAGGTACATATATTCACAAACTTTAAGACTAATACTATATTTACCACAGTGAAGATTAACCAAAATAAAGTCCCTTAAACCTTATCTACTACTTAACAGCTTTTGTTTTCATTGAGACATCCTAGGGGGTAAAGTAAAGTGAGGGCAGGAAGAAGATATTTCTTGTAAATAAAGTTACAGTAAAGCTCTTTGAAAACTTGTTAGAAGTTTAAGTGAATTTCCTTGAAGTCTAGACAGTAGAAAACCTGATTAGCTCTGAATAGGCGACTTTGGGTGAATTTCCATATCTAAAGACTAGATAGTAGAAAGTTTGAGTGTTTTTTTTAGAAACTAATAGGAGATTTTGTGAGAAGGTAGAGTGATGAGATTTGGGTTCTTGTCCATCTGGGCAGTAAAAGAATATGTTCCAGTATTTCTCAATATTGACTTTACAGTAACAGTTAATATTGACTTTATAATTGTTTTTATTAATCAGCTAATAGTAAAATCACTTTTGACTTCAAGAGGAATTCCTCGCCCTGGTGCAGCGCTTGCTTGTCTGGGCCAGGCAGCACCTTATGAGGTTGAGGCAATCCAGTTGTAAACAGAAGTTTGCTCACAATATTTTGATATTACGATTATACAAAAAAGGGAGGTCATAACACAAGTTAGTGTGGAAAGCCTGATTTTTCAGAGCATTTCCCCTCCATCCAACCGTGTCTGGTGACAGAGTTTGCATAGCTTGTGTCACTTTCTCATAGTAGGTAATAAGAAAATGCTTGTTGAAAAAGTGTGTTTATTTTTCATTACTAACAGCATTTATCCCCTTCTATTTGCCCAAATTCTAAACACAATCTGTGGGGGCCAGGATGAGCTTCTGACTTTGGACCTGGGTACTTTCCTTGCCTCTGCTGTTAGCCTGGTAGGAGGCCCTTCTGATTCTCCTGATGAAGTCAATATCATTTGTGATTAGCAGGTAGAAACCCAAACATTTCTCCTGTAGGACCCATATTAACCACAAGACTTCTCTTAAATTCCATGTTGATACAATAATTCTCTATAGACCTCATTTTGGACCTCAGACTCCTCCGAGGAACTCATGAGAACCCCTCATTTTTCCTTAGGCCCACATGGAATCACACCATATCTCCTGTAGGAAAGCCATGCTCTGTAGCTTCATCAGATTCCCATTCATTGTCTTACCAGGTCCTCCCCACAGCTCTGTAAATCAGCCAGAAGTTGCATCATAGCAGGGGCAGAGAGCAGTAAAGTTATGTGGCTGAATCTGAGACAGGACCAACATCAGGATCCAGTTGTCTTTCCCCATAGTTCACGGTTTTCTCTTCGTGAGTTGCCTGGTGACTAGATTATGCTCCTGAAGCTCACTGCCTTCTCTTCCCTCTCTTACACTAGTTTTTAATCTGCCTGTCTTTACTCCCACCCCCTTTCTGTCCCAGCTGTGGGAGTCAGGCCCTACTCCTAGCAGGCTGGAGCTGGACAATGGGCCCTTGTTCTGGCCAAAGAATCCCTGCAGTGTTTCCCACCCACTGAGGCCCCCTTCCAGCCTCTGAATGTTGTGGGTGGAGGGCACTGTGGAGGGTAGGAGCCATTGGCTGGCAGGACAGAGGGTGGCCCTAGCTATAGAGATCCCAGAGATTTACAATGTAAACAGCACTCACAATAAAAGCCTGTTTTACACTCCCAGTCCCATCTCTCCAAGTAGGCATCTCTCGAGCCTCTTTAGTTATACTTATTTTTTTTCAAAAATTATTTATGCATAAAAGAACTGGGGTACAGGCCAGAGGTGCGGGGGTGAGAGGATTCACCAGAGACAGAGTGAGGTGAAGAACAGAAATATAGACTAAAATACACTGCTGAGGAGAGCAGCAGGTGAGAGGAGAGGTCTGCCATGCCATGTGGGTCATCTCCCTGGCTGGGGATAGAACTTGTGCTGCAGTGGCTGCAGATAGCTTCATTGTGCTGCCCTTTAACCCCTTGTGCCAGAGAGGGACAGTCTGGGTTTTTCATGGTTTATCCAGGTCTCTAATCATTTTTTAAAAAGATTTATTTATTTGTGCATACAGAACTGGGGTACAGGCCAGAGATGCAGGGGTGGTGAGAGGATTCACCAGAGACAGAG